GTGCATCCCTTTTCATGGGTATACTTCTTACAATTTGAACTGACAAGTTGTAAGAGGTTCTCTGAGAACATCTTCTTGCTTTCCTACAAAATCCTTATTAAACTTGTTTATGGTTATGCAGATAAAGATTGTTACACAGAAAAGCCCTGAGGTGACATAAAGCAGAAGACATGACGTGTTTACTGTATCAACACTTAATCAAAACCTTTCCTGAGATCTTTCCTGAAACCAAACTACATTTGGGACTCAGGATGAGACTGATATCAAAGTCCGGCACCTTGAACACCAACCAAATCACAAATGGGAGTTAGTCTGCAACCTGTCAATTCATTTTCAATTTCCAAGTGACTTTAACAACTTTAGATCCAAATGCCTCTGGATGCAACTGGATAGACAAACAACCAGTGGTGTGCGGTTGCCCCCCCTCGTGGCCCAGTTGTTGAAAAACGCTCGCTAAAGTGCCCTCCTGGGAGCCAAAATACGCTCTAAAGTGCTCTTTTTTTCTTTTCGCCCCTGCCCTTCAAAAAATCTGTGCACACCACTGCAAACAACCAATCAGAGCACTGTGTGACGAAGCGCTGAGCTACAAATGTTAACAGACCACAGCATGCAGAGATGAGCAGTGATTGACAGTGGTGCATCAGTTTGTCTGGTAGTGAGCTTTGACGCTTTTGCCATCAGTGTTTGAAAAAAATACCTTAACAGGAATTTCCACATCAGCTGCAGCCATTTTGGTTGGCTCCACAAACCAAAATGACATCATCATGTATTTTGCGGTAAGCACAAAGTAGTCAACCATTGTCCGAAACATGCCCCATATTGGATAAACGGTTGTGATCAGCCCATCGCGGACCAGGTCGGATCAAAATCTGTCTGGGACCAGATGCATCTGCCAGAGCAAATAAAACATGAGCTCGCAGATTTGTCCAGTTCCCAGGCCACCAACCATCCACCTCTACCTTTTAATTTCTGTGAGGTACAAAAATGTAGTGCTTCTCTCACTTGGACTGACATTGCCAATAAACTCAATATAGGAAGCAGTAACTTTTCTTACCACAACATAACTGGGGAAACAAGTTTGTATAAACACAGCTTGTGGGAGACGTGGTTGTATCATGCGGTGAAACATTATTAAAAAGCCACAATAAAAAATGGAAATGAACAAATTTTGCAGCACCCTTGGCCCGTCCTTAAAGCACCCACATTGGTAAATACTTTCTTTGGCGGTAAAACTGAAGATGAGTGCCTCCAAAATGTCCATTAAAATTCCTCACTGCACATGAAAACTCTGTGTTTACAGCTACGAGTATCTAGTTATGCTGAAGTTTAAGCAGATAGGTCGGTGTGTAAACTGTTTTGGTAATAAGTTTGCCTTCATTATTTCTTCCAGATAAGTTTGGCTGTAATGTGGGTGTTATTTTGTCTGACTGCTCATGTTTCTTGACGTGTCAGACTTCTTTTGGAGATGTTGCAGATCTCAGCAATTAACTTGCGGAGTGTAATGTTCGTATTACAGATAGGAATGACTGCAAAAACTACAAAAATAAGACCCACACTGTAAAATAAAATTAAACCGAATCATCATCATTTAATAGCCACCCATGTGGAGTTCCATGACCTTGAGGACGTGGCATTAAGGCTGTGAGAAACTTTGAACGTACAGCTCAGGAAGAACAGATTTAGGCCAGCTGACAACTGGCAAAGAAACGTTAATATAAGCAAGATGATGCATTACAAATCTGCCATATAAAACACAGCACCAGTGGTAAAATTACTCAGCCCAATTGCATTGGCCGTTGGCTGCATGTGTGTAATCATGTCGGGAGTGCACGCACCCCTGACTGTGTGCCAGGGCTCCGGTCAGCCCACCCCTCGTAGATGTGCTGCCAACTCTCGCTTGGCAGGCACTTTGAAATCCGTCTTTACCTCTGCAGCGGTCAACAGTGTCAACAGCTCCGTCAGACCACATGTGTACGCAGAGCCTATGAATCAGTGTGACTGGAGCGTTTGTGTGTGCATGAGCCTTTCTAATGGGGTGTGATATGGGTTTGTGCAAACCGTGTGTGTACAGCTGCTGCAGGTATGAGTTCAGATATTTCTTGCTTCTGAAGTTTTCTCACTTTAAAGGGTCAGTTCACTCAAAAAATATACTATAGCATTCACCTCTGCTGGTATCTAACCATGTGGATATTTTTACATTAAGGTTTTGAGATATCCATCTTTAAGATTTCTGCCTCCACCCCAATAAAAAGGAGGTGAATGGAATTTCATTTGTGGTTCTCGCCGCATTAAAAAATGACATTTAAAAAATCAACAGCGGCATCTTTTCCCAGAAACAGTTTTCTCATTACCTTCAATAAACCACAGACCTCACTGTCAACAGTTTTCATTGGGACTTTTTCTTTGGTAGAGCTAAGTTCCAATGAAAACTGTCCACAGAAACGTCTGTGAGTTATCCAGAGGAACTGGAACATTTAGACATGTCGATGTTGACTTTTTTTCCTTTGCTCATTCAATCTTATGACAAACTCATGCTGTGCAACCAAACATTGTTCAAACCAACAGAACCTTATTTTTACATTTCAGAGGGGAAAGTGTCCAAAGAGCAAATACATCTTGGTACTGTAGGCTGAAGTTCAGAGAAATGTCTATAAATTGATGCACAAGATATAAAATATTTCCATGTGACTGAGTGTCTTGGGTTTTGAATATTCTGCTTATTATGCAAACATCAAATAAAGCTTCCGTGAGGAGGTGGACCGTATTTAAAGGGGAAAAGATGTAGAAAAGGTAGCGTATTTCTTAATTACTCAACTAATAACTCAATCAGCAAACGCTGTTACATTACTCATGACATTACTTTTGCCCACAGTGAAATGTGCCTTTAACACTTGACGTACCATTAAAGAAATGAAGACATTATGATGAACAAGAAAAGCTTCTCACTGTCCAAATCCAGGTGACTCCTGACTGTAGGATTACCAGTGGACAAAATTAGCAAGCCAGATAGTTAAGTAATGTAAACCATATAAAGCACATTTCCCCTCTTCTTGTAGAAGTTAACTCCTGAAGCAAGGTTTATGCTTCTGCGCACCTACAACGCAGAAGGCTTTGCAGAGGCATTGCTTCCCTCTGCGACCGACGCAGAGACGCGACGTGCATCTCCAAAAAATTGTAACCACACGTCGAGGCAACGCAGACCCAACGCAAACCCCAAGAGCTAAGATTGGTCCTTCAAACTACATCATTTCCAGCATTTCGGAAGGTTTCACTTCCTGCTGCAGTACCACAACACCGCCTCGAGCCATTCAACGGGCGTACAGACCATCGGCACAGTCGCCTCTCTCTTCGTCGTCGTAACTTTTGTAATAAGAGCATTTCGAACTCCAGCAACAGTCTTTCTCTCTTGGTCGCCATCTTCACTGTGACTAGAGCAAAGCCGGAAGATAAACAAACAATGAACGAGCAACGACAATAGACATCACAGAGTCTACGTAGGTATATAAAAGAACACCGCACCCCAAGTGCTTTGGCGGGGAATTGCATAGCGACATAGACCAACAGGACGCAGAACTATGATAGGCACACAGCGACTGCGGAGCAACTGCGTGCACCTGCAGTGCTCAGCATTCAATGACGGTGCTCTTGCAGAACAGTGTCGGGATGGAAGACATGCACGTGGGGAGGTGAGCATTGTCATTAGAAAGGCTAATTTTCTGCAAAAGAACACACCACAGAAAAATAAAAAAGATGTATGTTGTGTGTGACTCAACTTTTAATGATAAAAAGACAAACATAATTTGATAATCGGTGCCCCAGAGGTAAAGCCTGACTATACGTAACTAACTGTACTAGCTCTGGAGGAGCTCAAGGGGCACGTTAAAACCCCAGACAATTTGCTGTATGTGACTCAAGCAGAACATTATTACGAAGATATCACAGTAGCTCTTGTGAAGTGGAACAGATCAAGCATCGAGTTAATGTCACTGGCTTCTGCCGGAGTTTAAAGATGTGGCAAATCGAGCCCGACTGATCGTGTCAGAAAATGGATCACCATTAGGCAGTCTTTTCTGTGGTGTGTTCACAAGTTGTTTCACTGGTTTCAGATACAACAATTCAAAAGAACAAAGCAGGCAGGCCTTATTGCAAGATTCAAATTTTCATCAAACGTTCCATTTTTAGCGTGTAGGTTGTTAGCTCAAAGGTTGTTCTTATTATTTTTCTGCAGGAAAAGGGAGTTAAAAAATGGTAACATGCAGATAGCAGAAGTGGGGTTAATGCCAGCCCAAGTAGCCGGCCAATGGCAGATTTGTAGCCACTGTCTACATCCGGTGAGTTACACAAACGAACTCTCCAAAATCCTCCAAACTAACATACCCAGGACCAGTTTCTCCACTAAACACAGAGAAACAGTGACAAGCTGACTTTTAAATTATTGAAAACACACGTGCTACTGCGATTAGTAACTGCAACGTAATCACTGAATATCAAATTCTAATCACTTACACTACATAGCACATTACTCAGTAACACTTGCTGCTCAACATTGTTTGTATATACAGGTTTTTTAAATGCTGTAAACACAACAAACTAAATTCTTTCCACCTCCATCCTATTTGTGTGCAGGCAAGAATTTCAGAGATGATTATCGCCAAACCAACACAAAACTATCTGCATGGCTCGACACCAGCAGAGCTGCGGTAAGTGAGAAAACATGTTGTTATATTTTGGGTTGATGTAATTTGGGTGTTGCATCAGATGTGGTGTAGCATTGCAGTGTTAACTCCTATTCACCGCTGCCCTTTTGCACCTTGCTCTAAAAGCTCCCCGGAGCCTTCGCTTTAGGAAGTTTGAAGCTCAAACCCCCTCCTCCACACACACACACACACACACACACACACACACACAGAAACGTTTTCTATCTCTGCCCTCCCTCCATCTCTCCCTCTCTCACTCCCTCCTCTCAGCTCAAAACTATAAGAGCCAGACGGGAGAGCACACACACAAAATACTCCTGCTCACATGCACACACACACACAGTCTGCTGCACATGCATGGAGTGGAACAGATCCACAGAGCTGCACAGTAGTGAGGCAACGGTGTGTGATTGAGAGAGAGCGGGGGGTGGAGAGACAGAAAGAGACACAGAGAAAGAGAGAGCATTTTTCTCTCCCTCTCTCCCCACTTAAGGGCAGCAGCAGTGTGCAGGAGTTGCATGAAGCGTGTGGTTCCAACTGAGGACTTTCTTATCAGACCATGGAAGCCAAGAAGTGGAGGTAGAAGAACAAAAAGAAGAAGAAACTCCCTGCTGACTGAACAGGAGACCAGAATTTCATCTGGGGGATTACTGGACTCTTCATACATGTGCTCGTGTCATGGTGATATCCTACATGATCGTCTCTTGTTGACAGGAGACATTTCCCGAGGATCAAAGTTTGTTTTCTGAGCTGAGGAGTGTGTGAATGAAGTGTGCGGAAGCAGGAAACATGTCAAGCGGACGTTTCAGTCACCTGTTGAGGGGAGTCTGGCTGCTGTGGCTGTGGCAAGGTGAGTTCAACCGCTGTCTGCAAGATGACAGAGTGTGTTTTTTTAAAAAGTCGTCCAGTTTTTCTTAAATAAATGCACAGATTTCTGTTCTCTAAATTTGTGCAGATTTCACCTGATTAAATTTATACAAAGCCTAATATATTTTAGCCTGGTTTTGATTAAAAAAAATTAAGATAAGTATTTTAGTTTAGTTTGGTAAAGCTCAAACTGATGCTGGTGTTAGAAAATCACACGGTCTATGAATCCTAAAAAAATTGTATTCCTAAGTACGGGACTGACTTGTAAATCTTGCATTTAGAATCTGATCTTAAAAGATCGCAGCAGATTTCCGCCTGTAATCCAAAGCTTTTCCAGTATGAAAAAAAAGAGATAAACGCTCTCTCATGTGAGAAATCAGCTGAACACTTGCGGATTTAGCTTAAAGAACACATGGCAGCATACAGACACAAAAACAGAAGAGATTATAACAGACAAACTCATAATTACAAGGAAGTAATTACGCAATTTGTCACAATTGAAATGATTTGCAGAGTTCAACATGTGGATCAGCACTTTGAAAAATAAAAACACGACCTATGGTGATGTTAGACTTATGAATAGCCGGTCTGTGTTCCCCCGCTCCTCCTCTGTGTGTCTTCAAAGCAGATCTGTGGTGAGCGGAGGAGCCTCTAAAAGAGAGCTGTGGCTGGTGCCTTTAAACAATGGTTCCCTCGGAGCAGAGAAGCGTGGCCCTGGAACTAATGTTGCCATTATGTTAATGGTTAGAATAACAGGAGACAGCCATTACTGACTTCACCTCAGGCTGCTGTGCAGAGCTGATTGTCCAGCCGCCGCAGCCTCGTTCGCGGAAGCTCTGCGTTTTGGCCATCAGGGCTGGTTAGGGTGATGAGCAGCGGGAGACGGACAGGAGGAGGCATCTGCCCAGTTAGTCATCACCCAGCAACTCCCCCACTCCTCCCCTCCCCTCTCTCCATTCATCCCTAGCTGCTTCAGTGGTAGACTGGTAGACTGGTATCTGTGGATTGTTTTCTTTTTCACCGCTCAAGTCGAGTAGAGGAGACAGGCGAGGTTGAGCCGCTGGCCCTAAACAGATGTCAGAGGGAGCTCAGCAGCTCCTCAGCAGAGAACTGATCAGGGATTAATTCAAAGAGCCAAAACCGACACCAAAGCAAAACTGTTTGCACCATAAAACTTAAATTCAGATGAATTATGACAGGTGTAACGACATTTCTGTGCGGGGAAAGCTTCCTGAGTCAGTGTGCTTCATACTAACTGTTTGCTTGTGATTTACTGGGCATCCTTTGAACATGAATGGATTATTAAACAGGCCTAATGGGTCCAGGGGCCCAAAGTGTCAAAGGCCCCTTGGTCTTTACTGGCAAAATGTCACTCAAATGAACAAGTACCAACCAGAAGGAGACTAAATATGACCACAATGAGATAAAAAGACCACAAAGAGATGCAAATGATCTGTGAAACGACACAAAATAAGTACAAACACTGGCAAAACAACCATAAAGAGACAAAAAAAACAACCACAAGAAAACACAAAACGACTGCAAAGTGACAGAAAAATAACCAAAAAATACACGAGATTCCCTGAAAGAGACCCAAACCACAATAATGAGAAGAAAAACAATTAAAAAAGACATAAAATTACCTTCAAGAGACACAAAACGACTACAAAGCAACAGAAAAATGACCAAAACTTACAAAAAATTAAGCAGAAAAAGAGACCCAAACAACACCAACGAGAAGAAAAATGATTAATAAAAGATGTAAAATGACCTTAAAGAGACACAAAATGACTACAAAGCAACAGAAAATTTACCCTTTAATTACCTGAAACAGACCAAAACAACAACAACGACAAGAAAAACAACTAAAAAAGACATAAAAAGACCTTAAGGAGACAGAAAAACGACTACAAAGTGACAGAAAAATGACCAAAAATTACACAAAATTACCAAAAGAGACCCAAACAAACAACAACCAGAAGAAAAACAACTAAAAAAGACATAAAATTACCTTCAAGAGACACAAAACAACTACAAAGTGACAGAAAAATGACCAAAAATTACCCAAAAGAGACCCAAACAAGAACAACAATGAGAAACACAACTACAAAAGACATAAAATCACCACAAAGACATGTAAAACTACCACAGTGTGTGTGTCTTGCTCCTATGTATGAAAGGTGGTTGGGTCCTTTGCATATCTGTGCCCAGGGGCCCGTCGTCTCATAATCCATTCATGCCTTTCGAACCCAAACTTTTAATTCTAAAGCTACAAACACTCTCGTTCTCTGGGTTCTGCCTCACTTGACAATGTTTTTGAGAAAGATAAAAGTGGCCACATAGAAGAGACCACAGTGAATATTTGGATGAGGTCTGGTGGATTCTTGGACAAAAGAATTTCCTGTTGTGGGACAGTGAGCTGAAGCGGACTGGATGGGAACGTGTTGTGATCCCACCCTATTGCTGCTTCATTTTACCATACAGGAAAAAAAGCTCTATATCATATTAATACGAATTAAACCATGTATGCAGTGTTCATGTTTCGGCCTGCAACAGTTCGACTTAAAACTCTCCAAGTTTGTGAAACAGCCACTGACTGGATCGCCCGAAACGTCTTCAAACTAAACTTTTGGACTAAGGTGAAACTGATGTAATCTCAGCTCGAAGACATCAATGGACCATCAACTTCTCTTGTCTGCTATCTCCATCTCATCTGCCTCGGCCGTCCACCAAGAAGAGGCACCAAACTATCAGGTGCTGTCTCTCTGCTCTCTCACAGCACAAAAAGCAATGGTTCACATATAAAGCTGAGAAAATGGTGGAGTAGGTGGAATTTTTTTTGGCTCGTTGTGGCAGCTGTTTCACTCATGGTGAGGGTGTGAATGCAGCAGGACGATGTGTGTTTTGTTGCTTTGTGAACAGGAGCCAGAGTTCACTAACCACAGTGGAACTGGCAGCAGTGTTCACTGGGCAAACCCCCGTAGATCCCTTCTCTAAATAAACGAGGCCGCTGGATTAACCAGCTTACACTGTGATGAAAAGACAACAGCGGTCGTCCATGCGCTGCCCCGGGGACAGAGGGGGACTCCTGGTCCGGGAGACCGCTATGAGATGGTGGGGTTAAAGCCCCCCAAAAAGGAAGGCGGGTTCAGGGTTAGAATAACACAACAACAGACCTCATGTTCTTTGAAAAAACTCTAAATCAACCTGACCTTCGCTTGACTTTGGCGACAAGCAAGGAGGAAAGGGAGAGAGACAGAAACAGGGTTCTGCAGGACTGGTTTCTGTTTGCCTTCTTCTGTCCCTGACAGGGCCATAACACATCACTTGGGAGTGAGATTACTTCTGTTTAGCAACGAGTAGTGTAAGGGATTTTAAACTCGATAATTACATTACAGTTACAAATCCTAGTTACACTCCAATACTTTGACATCAACATTTGCTGTCTTGAGGCGTCTTTAGACAACAACTGTGTAAGTTTACTGTCACACAGCAGAGGCACGTCATCAAATAATCAAATGCAAAAATGCAGGTTTCCCTTTTTACTACATGGATGTATAAAGAGAACTGAGCACAGTATTGGAGGTGGGGCCACAGCCATTCCGATGAAAGTTGTTCAGTGACGCATGAAGCCAAAAAAGTTTCCGGGTGTAAAATGACCTGGATCTTCTGCATCCATCGGCCCATAGATCAAGCGCACTATCATTTAACCTGCCTCCCAACTGCTCGGTGTCTGACTCACTCCCATGACTGACAGTAGGAGAATTACTCTGGATCTGGCAAGTAGTAAATTTGACAACTTTCACAACTTTTTTAAACGTGTATTGTGGAAGGTTAATTTTCCCCTTAAAAATATTATCCGCTGATTTACAGACGTCTCTTTCACGATGTAAGTCAGTGGAAAGAAGTCGATGCCGATGGCATCACATGACGGGCAGGGAAGTTGTAATTCCACTTCGGCCACTATATAAAATTGGCTTCAAAGTGCAGTGCTGTTCCTGGGGACTTGCTTTACTAGAGACCCAACAACTTGGTTTTCTTTATGTTTTGCCTCCATTGTTTTGGTTTGGGTGTGTAGGTGTGGGTGTTTTTATTTCCTAAATCTAATTTAAAAAGTGAAGTTTTACTGGTGCATTCTGCATCATTTCATGTCATACTCCGATCGGTTGATTTGTGGGCCGAGGCAGCTGTCACACTGTGAGACTTTAGTGCTAAATTTTTGATGCAGGCTGTCTTTGCTCACCAAAGTTGCCAGTTGACGTGTCTCACATCTTGATCTAGGACCAACGTTTTAGACTGACAACCAGGTTTGTCTCTCGTATGTCAACTTTCATCTCAGACAGCCAGAAATCACACAGTGGAGAGGGCTCTTTACAAACAGTTTGCTGACAGCTCAGTGCAGGGGCAGGGGGGGCATTAGCTTCCATCAAAAGGGGTGAAAACCACACAGTAAGTCAAAAGTCGTCTTTTGACTTACTATTTAGACGTTGTGTATTCTTAGCTGCCAGGTGGGCATCAACAACTTTGACTACATTTGGCTGTAGCTGAGGAGAGAACTTCTCCTGGACTGTTGAAAGGGTTTGATCACTGGGGCTGATGCTGCCTTCAAATGGGGTGCGTTTACCACGTTCATGAGGCCTCTAAGGTCATTTTGCAATAGATGGCGAGTTAATATGTTGTAGTTTTAGTCGTACAGAGTTTTTCATCATAATTTGAGAATACGTATGAGGGAAATGTTATGAAAATGATGTTCCCAATGGGCACGTTTTCCCTCTGTCATTATGTCTTTGCATTTTCTGCACTACCCCTTTCCTAGCTTGCTAAGCCGTTAGCCTCGTTGGCATCTAGACACCATTTGTTGCAGCAGTGTTCTCACAACTTTATCACTTGCACATTGCTTCCCATGTTGCAACCGCAAGCTCACCAAATCCATTCATTCCAATGTGAGCTGTTGGTGGTCAGTAAAACAGAAGACTAGCTGCT